TAAAGTGGCTTCCAAACGATCCATTTCCAAGTTGAAAATGGAACAGCCTGTGTCCAAATCAACAGTTAGCCTAGAGGAAGGCCACTTTTTTTTTTTTTCCCTCACTTCCTCCTTTTTTGGTTGTGCACACTGCCTTCCTGCCTGTCTGTCTCCTTTCCTTCCTTAAAACGATGGATAGGAAGCCTGGTTGCATCATAGTCCAGCAGCGCAGCCTGAGACAACACTAACTCCGTCTCAGTCTCCTGGACTGCATTAGAGCGGAGACAGATCAGCTGCTGGTGAGTGGTTCTTTTGTTTTCTCATGTGGTCACTTCGATAGCTCTTCATGTTTTGTGTGTAAAATAAAAATAAACACCACCTTTTTTGATAGTCGATAGTTCAGTGTGCGGTGAAGCCAACAGAAAATCTAGAGTTTTAGGATTGTTTATTTAAAAATGCCTCAGAGTACATACAGTACATCATATGGTTATAGGGCAAAAGGCTTGACTATACCTTTTTAGGGAGAAAAGGCTTGACTTCAGGGTGATCTGCGGCTCTTGATACTAAAGTACTAGCCTATTTCTCAAGGTGTGGAATCTGCATGCATGTGCAGTGTACAGGCAAGTCTCTTCATGTTGCATGTTGAAACACACTTTTGGTGGAATGTTTACTTTGTAAAAATAGCTATTTCCTTTGAGGATCTGTTCTGTTAGGTGGATGGCCTTGAGGTTATCGCTGTCCTAGAACAGACAACTCATAAACTCTACTGTACAACCACTGACCAAACACAACTAATCAAATGAACCGTTGACCATTGGAAAAATAACTTTTTTTTAAAGATGGTCGGGTCAGAGTTTGACACTGCTTACTCGTGTACAATATATAAAAGCAATTATATTTAATTTTTACCAATGTATACTTCTTTCAAAGTCTTAAAGGCCCAGTGCAGTCAAAAATGTGATTTTTCCTGTGTTTTATATATATTTCCACACTGAGGCTGAAATAATACAGTGAAATTGTGAACATGATGAAAATGCCCTTTTTAGTGTAAGAGCTGTTTGAAAAGAACGCCAGAAATGTCAGCCTGTTTTGGTGGGATGGAGTTTTGGCCTTCCATGGTGACATCACCATGCGGTAAATTGGTTAATAGACCAATAAGAAAGAGTTCCAAACAGCTCTGCCAATAAAAGCACATTTTCAGTTTTCCCCTCCCCACTCAGACCACTCTCAGACAGCTAAGAATATATTTTTGTTTGACCATTTTAATTTAAAACAGTCACAGCAAGGTACTTCATTGTTACCCAGAAATGGTTTGATATTGAGATCAAAACTGCTGCATTGGACCTTTTTTAAGGCATAAGTCAAACTTTCCATAACAAAGATTTATTGAATTATACTTTGCAATTCTTCAGACTTTGAGGCTTCCACTTTATACCAATTCCTGGTAATGGCTTTTTTTACTAGACATTACAGACATTTAAAATACCTGAAAGGTAACATTTTAACAGTCAATTAGCATACACGGGGATCAGGATCTGTGCAGTCATTTGGTCAATCTCATTAGATGTACTTTTAATGCTTTCTTGAATGTGAATTTTCTTTTTGCTTGGGTTGGTAAGGAGTTATATTCAGTGATGGCTCTGTATAACTGTTGATATATCAGTCTTTAATTCCTTCTATTTTAAAGCAAAATGGTAGAAGGTTGAATCTTTTCTAGAGGCAACATGACCGAGTGAAGAAACTGTCTTTTGATGATGTTTGTTTATATACAGTACATTTCGAATTACATGGATAGTCCCGTTTGGTATTGCAGAAGGCTCTATCGTTTTTATCTATTTTTCAAAATAATATTCTGGACTTCTTTCTAGCAGCGCTATAATTTACACTTTGGTCAGGTCCAGTGGTGTGCTGCAGTTTTTGCAATGAGGCTGAGAGAAAATGTTGCAGTTTTAGAGCTAATTTCCTATAATTATGATTTTTTGCCATTGCTTATGACATGTTCATATTTTATTTGGGGGTGGTAGTATGCCAGTGGTCAGGTACCCTCTCCATTTAGGGTCTTGACCTGATTCCCTAGTGTACTCTCCTAATACTTATATTAGCAGGTTTGTCACAGATCCTTGGAGGTTTGTTCATCATTATGAAACTCAATGTGGTTTTGCCCCAGTCTGCCTGACAACTCCTCAAAATACATAGACACAGATGACAAGTCACACAGTTTAGTTTGACCAAGGACTTTCCCACTGGTTTGGTACGAGATGTACTGCACTTTTGTGGCTGTGGCCATTTTGGTTGGGAGTGTTCAACCCAGCCTGGGCAAAATGCATCCGGTTGCACGACAACATTATTTGACTGGATTGGAACTAAAAAGCACAAAGCAGCAGGCATCTTAGTATATTCCCTAATCTACTTTACTAATAACTGTGGCATAGGTCTGCTCGACACTGACCAGTCACTCAGCCTCAGGTGTGGGCTTGGACGGTCAATCTCCTCATTACAAATTAGAAAATAAGCCTGTTCAAGTATTCTGTTTTATGGATGTATCATTCCATGTGTCACAGGAAAAACATGCACACTCACTCTGCCTTAGCCTTGAAACCTCTGACACAACAAGTGCCTCTGAAGAGATCCATATGTGTTTTGAAGAGAAGCAAACCAATCCCAAGTAAAGGGAGGGTGGGTAAATTGGAGACGGAAATGATAGGATGACGTTGGCCTCCTACGTTAGAAAAGCCTTGGCCTGGTCCTGGCACTCTGAGCCCAGCGAGAGGAATGGCGGGAGGAGAAAGAGAGAGCGGTGGTACAGTTTTCCCCTGCCTCTCCTCACAGACGCGTCAAAGTTTATATAGAGAAAAATACATGATCCGACCAGGTTCAGTCTTGACCTGGGGCTCTGATCGTTCCCTTTGATCTTATCCGTCCCTCCATCCCCCCACCCATGTTTCCACCCACCTACCAGCCAGAACCAAATGGTGAGGCCTACACTGTGTAATCTTTAGGAAATCTAGGCTATCCCCCAGTCGCGTGCTCAACTCCCAAGAGGGACATTAAAATTAGTTTCCAGAAAACAGTAACAAAATATTATATATAGCCTAGATGGCAGGCCCAAGAAGTAGTACTATAAGTCATGTCTTTTTGATGTAAAGTATACTCCCTGGGTATTTAGTGGTTAGTGTTTGTGTGCCAATCCATCATTCTTAATTCAGTAAAACCATGATTGATACTATACAGAGTATTAGTATTTTATAGCTCTACTTCATTATTCCACTCTGTCTCAGTAGTACAGCTAGCTGTAGCAGTACGGTAAGTGCTGGTCTCCCAGGCTGTAGCTATATATTTTTTTAGTGGTGTGGAGAGAAGTCTCCCAGGCAGTTGAAGGCATGCCGATGGAGGCAGAGGCTGTTTGAGTGAAGTCTGAACACAGAGTACCAGACCAGAACATAACAGACCATGGATAGGAGGGACTGGGAAGGATTAGAGAGCAGAGAAGACTTCCATATCTAGAACATCAGCTGTGGCAACAATACTTTTCTTCGACCATAATGAATACATTTTTATGAGTGCTGGGCCTAGTAATGTGTTTGTTTGTCATTTATTTGACAATCTGTCTGGATATCTCAGTTTGTGTATACTCGCTCCAAAGAAAGAGAGAGAAAAAAGAGGAGGAGTAGCCCCAAAGAGGCCCGCTTTGTGTGTTTTGAGAGAAAGAGGGGGAGGAGTATCCCCAAAGAGGCCCGCTTTGTGTGTTTTGAGAGAAAGAGGGGGAAAGAGTAGCCCCAAAGAGGCCTGCTTTGTGTGTTTTGAGAGAAAGAGGGGGGAAGAGTAGCCCCAAAGAGGCCTGCTTTGTGTGTTTTGAGAGAAAGAGGGGGGAGGAGTAGCCTCAAAGAGGCCCGCTTGTATGTTTTGAGAGAAAGAGGGGGGAGGAGTAGCTCATGAATGAGTTGAAATTGGTGCTTTTCAGGGAAGGACTATGGGCCAATAATGTTGTGTACTTTTTGTCTGTGTTTGGAATCTATTTGATTAGTTAGATGGGAGTGAGTCTGAACCTGTGTGTGTGTGTGTGTGTGTGTGAGAAGTCTGGACCAATGACTGTCTGTGTCAGTTGAGGGTGTGTGAGTGCACAATTATCTTATTATATGTACAAGACTGTACACAACTGAGTCAAACCAATCGTGCGTGTGTTTGTGATTACGTGTTGGCCATAGTCTGTAGACACCAGACAAACCTCATTTACGGTCCAAGCCAGGGGTGTGACTCAGTACGTCTACTTCTAGCTACACAGCTGAGTCTTACACATTCAAATGACTGAAGATAAGAAGGCCTAGCTGCTAAGATAACTAACGCTAGAGGGGAATCTTTAGTCTGGCTCACACAACTCAGTCTTCCTGACTTTAGAGTCTAGATAGGCTCCTTGATGTTTGTAGGCACGATGCGTCAATAATGAAGGGGGTTGTGCTTTTTTTAAACTGATTTTGGTTCTCCTCTGTCATTCTCACTCAAACACCCACATGGACAGCCACACACAGCCCCCGAGCGCAACCCCTTACAATACAACAGTTGGATTTTCAAATCCAAACAATGAGAGATCTCAACCCCCCCAAGAGAGAAAAGTTTGAGAGAAATATTCAAAGCTCAAGACAATTTTTGTGTGAATATTGCACCAACAACCGGACTCCTGTCAAACTAGTGTGTCACAGCTCTCCCTCGCTGTGTACCCGGTGAATCGTGTCAACCAGGCTTGGGAATCTCCGCTTCAAGTTGCCATATCAAAAATGACTAACACTTTAGGGTCTGGTCCTGAAGTATTTCCTGGAATATTTCACTGTGCACCACACAGTCATCTGACTTCAGCGTTAACAAAGCACACAGTAAATAACTGAAATGAAGACTTTATTAGAGCACAAGTAGCCATATCCAAATGTCATCATGACTGTTTGGTCTGTGCTTGATGTAGCTGAACATAATCGTCTATTGTCTTGACTCTAAACGTTCGTCATAGCTGTTCACTGATGTGTTGATTCATGCTGCCTGTGATCGGCTGGTGTGTGTTGCGAGAGCGTGGGAGCTGGCTGCTGGAGACAGACTATGTGGATGACAATGGGAAGCAAGGAATTGAATTAGCTCTGGGTGTGGGCAACAACAACGTGTGTGTAGAGCAGTAAACCACACACAACAAGGTTCCTATTAAAAACCTGGGGCGGTGCCTTTTCTCTTTCACAATGTCTCTTCCATTAACCAGTCTCCTTCTACTAATATCACTGTCTGCCAACTCTTTTCCAGTGAGCACCACTCCATCTTTCACTCACACACTATGGCATTGCACAGGGGCTCATTGCAACATGTGTGCTGCAAACATGTACATTCACTGAAACGATTAACAACCTTGTTGTGCGCACACATACACATTAAAATGTGACTTTGCAAGTGTGTTCTCACACACAGACACAAACATATACATACATACATACACACACACACACTAAAGGCGTCCGCATACATTGATTCGGTTTGCTCCTAGCAGAACTCTGCTAGGCGAAGTGAACATCTGTGCTCGCATACTCCCTTAAAATACATTTGCTTGAAAAATGAGAAAAAAGCGGCAATATTACTGTTTGTCCCTCTTGAGACGCCATAGCCAGTACACACATCTGTAATGAATTTTGCCGTTTTTGCAGAGGTCTTAGTCGCCTAATTTGACATCTAACAAAGATGTTTGGTGCAGTATTTCTCAAGTGACAAAATATGCATGAGAATTTGTCGTCTGTCGTTGAATGACAAACACTTAATTGAAGATTCCCTACTATTTACCAACCACTGATGAAGGGGAGGTAGACTTCGGCTGCTGAACTTCGGCTTGCCTTAAAGAGCCTTGCCTTGCCTTGCTCGAACTGCCGAAAATAAAACCTGCCGAACACCAGAATGAACAAAAATGTCACATTTCATTATAATATACAGTGCATTCGGAAAGTATTCAGACCCCTTGACTTTTTCCACATTTTGTTACGTTACAGCCTTATTCTGAAATTGAGTAAATAAAAGATTTGTCCTCATCAATCTACACACACTACCCCATAATGACAAAGCGAAAACAGGTTTTTAGAAATATTTGCTGGGTTATTAAAAATTAAAAACAGAAATGCTTATTTACATAAGTATTCAGACCCTTTACTATGAGACTTGAAATTGAGCTCAGGTGCATCCTGTTTCCATTGATCATCCTTGATGTTTCTACAACTTGATTGGAGTCCACCTGTGGTAAATTCAATTGATTGGACATGATTTGGAAAGGCACACACCTGTCTATATAAGGTCCCACAGTTGACAGTGCATGTCAGAGCAAAATCCAAGCCATGAGGTCGAAGGAATTGTCTGTAGAGCTCTGAGACAGGATTGTGTCTAGGCACAGATCTGGGGAAGGGTACCAAAACATATCTGCAGCATTGAAGGTCCTCAAGAACACAGTGGCCTCCATCATTCTTAAATGGAAAAAGTTTTGAACCACCGACACTCTTCCTAGACCTGGCTGCCCGGCCAAACTGAGCGATCGGGGAGAAGAGCCTTGGTCAGGGAGGTGACCAGGAACCCGATGATCACTCTGACAGAGTTCCTCTGTGGAGATGGGAGAACCTTCCAGAAGGACAACCATCTCTGCAGCACTCCACCAATCAGGCCTTTTATGGTAGAGTTTCCAGACGGAAGCCACTCCTCAATAAAAGCACATGACAGCCCCCTTGGAGTTTGCCTAAAGGCACCTAAAGGACTCTCAGACCATGAGAAAGAAGATTCTCTGGCCTGATTAAACTAAGATTGAAGTCTTTGGCCTGAATGCCAAGCGTCACGTCTGGAGGAAACCTGGCACCATCTCTACGGTGAAGCATGGTGGTGGCAACATCATGCTGTGGGGATGTTTTTCAGCTGCAGGGACTGGGAGACTAGTCAGGTTCAAGTGAAAGATGAATGGAGCAAAGTACAGAGAGATCCTTGATGAGAACCTGCTCCAGAGCACTCAGGTCCTCAGACTGGGGTGAAGGTTCACCTTCCAACAGGACAACGACCCTAAGCACACAGCCAAGACAACTCATTAGTTGCTTCGGGACAAGTCTCTGAATGTTCTTGAATTGCCCAGACAGAGCTCGGACTTGAACCCGATCGAACATCTCTGGAGAGACCTGAAAGGCTGTAATCGCTGCCAAAGGTGCTTCAAAGTACTGAGTAAAGGGTCTGAATACTTATGTAAATTAAATAATTTCGTTTTTTATTTATACATTTGCCAAAAATAAATTCTTATTTTGCTTTGTCATTTATAGGGTATTGTGTGTAGATTGAGATTTATTTATTTTTTAATCAATTTTAGAATAAGGCTGTAACGTAACAATGTGGAAAAAGTTAAGCGGTCTGAACACACACACACACACACACACACACACACACACACACACACACACACACAGAGGTTGAGAAGGGGGTTATAATTTATAAGAGTTAGGTGTGCTCTTGCAGGACAGGCTGTTCAGATTTAAAGCCAGTCAGTCAGGGGTGGGGTGGGGGTGCTTATGTGTCTGATCCAGTGCTGTTGGCAGCTTGGTCTTGCATTTTTATCAGTATTTTCCTAATGGGGAGGAGGGATGGAGGGGGATCAAACCTTATTACAGCGATCATACAGCCTAATAAACCGTTGTGTGTCATCCTGTAAGGAGTGTGTTTGTGTAGGGTTAACCCTGACTGAGGTAACAGGGCTGAATCACCTCAGGAGACTCCAGTAATCTCTAAGTGAGACAACTGTAGTCAGTGAGGAAATCTAACCCCTTTCATTCAATAGAGGTCTACCTCTCCCACTGAAGGGGCACAAGTTGGAACGTGGCATGTTTCTGTTCACGTGATTGTGTGTGTAGGCTACCGCGTGTGTTAGTGTGTGATGGCACCTTGGTTGTGTGTGTGTGTGGTGGCGTCTTGTCGTGTGTGTGTGGTATCCGTTGAAACAGGTATGTGTAAGCAGGTGCCACGTGGTAGTGAATGTACTAAGCTTGAGTGAGGGGCCGTGTGTATTCACAGCTGCCCTGGGGTCTCCGAATGTGTGTTGTGTGTGTGTGTGTGTCGCTCCGGCCACAGTAGCTGTTCTTTCTCCAAACCCACCACTAATTCTCTTGACTTGAGAGCACACATCTGGTCACACGCACAAAACACACATACTGAAACACGACACACACAAACCAGTGGAGGCTCCTCAGAGGATGAAGGGGAAGACCATCCTCAGTGAATTTCAGACATATTTTAATTAAAAAACCATTTTAAAAGTTATCCTTTTTAGATAAATCTATACTAAATATATTAATGTCACCAAATAATTGATTAAAACACACTGTTTTGCAATGAAGGTCTACAGTAGCCTCAACAGCACTCTGTAGGGTAGCAGCATGGTGTAGCCGGAGGACAGCTAGCTTCCGTCCTCCTCTGGGTACATTTATTTCAATACAAAACCTAGGAGGCTCATGGTTCTCACCCACTTTCATAGACATACACAGTAATTTTTTACAACTTCCAGAGGACGTCCTCCAACCTATTAGAACTCCTGCAGCATGAACTGACATTTTTTCCACGCAATCAAAGGTTCAGAGAATGAATCTAGTACTGAAAACGTGAGCTACAGCTAGCTAGCACTGCAGTGCATAAAATGTGGTGAGTAGTTGTCTCAGAGAGAGAAAGACAATAGTTGAACAGTTTTGAACAAATTAATTTCATCAAAAATTAAGGAGAAGCAAGGGATTTCTCCAACAAAAAAAATATCTTTCACTTACTTAGCTAACAGATGCAGCTAGCTAGTTTAGCCTACTCTAACCGAGGGATGCTATGTTAGCTAGCTCTTCCAAGTCAAGGTAATCTACCAGAATATGGTTGGGCCTATCATTTGCATCGCTATATTTTTTCCTATTCTTTAATAGTTTGAAACCTGGACGTTTTACTTCATATTATGAGGCATGTCTTAAGCCTTACTTGAAAGTAGCCTATAGCCAAAATCCCACTATAGAAACGTGGAGGCAATTATTTTTGTAAAGACTTTCTCATTTGCTTTCTCCTGTTCTATTGATTTCCTTTCAACTTTCTTTAATTGTCTAGCAGCCAAAGGCATTATCGTAGTCATATTAATTAAAATTAATATACTGTAAGTCGCTCTGGATAAGAGCGTCTGCTAAATGACTAAAATGTAAATGTATACGCAATGCCCACGGAAAAATAAGTGGGTATACGGCGTATACCCTCCTCTACACCACAGTGCACATCAGTCATCGATAATTGAACCTCCGCTATTATTGCGCTTGCCATTGGACACAACGCAACGCGAGCAGTATTGCCGCTTTCATTGATTTCAAAGAAAGCATACCATTAATGGCTGATGGCAATGCCGGATGCCCGATGGCTGTATAGTAAATAAAATGGTAATTCATGATTTCATTGACAAAGCCTTTGAGTCTTATCCTATGAGTATGTTCATATTTAGTCAGTTTTGTCTTTAAAACCAGACTCTCAGACAGGTTTTGGGAATACTATCACAGAGTTCTCCTCATCCTAGATCCGACACGCTCGTTTTTGTTGGCTTGGCCGGGCAGCAGATATTTTCAGCAGCTTTAGTCCTGACAGGAATGCAGCCAGCTGCCTGGACACCCAGCCCATGCTTGTCTTTTTGGTTACCTTGCTGTGGCTGAGTCTGCCGTTGTCTAAATATGGCATCTTATTTTTACCTGTCTGAACACAAACACACACAGCCATACAGTATCTTTCGCCACATTTCATTAACATGTCACATCTGTTAGTTCTGCGGTTGTGTTGAGGGAGAGCTGTTGGGCTACAGGAGTTAGTGTTTGGCTGTTTAGTGTTTTGCTTGTGTGATATGACTTCTGAAGGGAGAGCTTCATTGTTATTTCCAGGAGACAAATTGAAAGCAGTACGCTTGATTTCTCCTGACATGCTCGTGTTGTTACTTAGCACAATGCTATGTACACTGAAAAAATATATAAATGTAAACTGTTGGTCCCGTGGGGGGGGATTACTCAGGAGTATTTCTGTCTATAATAAAGCCCTTTTGTGGGGAAAAACTCATTCTGATTGGCTGGGTCTGGCTCCCCAGTGGGTGGGCCTGGCTGCCAAGTTGGTGGGCCTATGCCCTCCAAGGTCCACCCATGGCTGCACCCCTGCCTAGTCATGTGAAATCCATAGATTAGGGCCTAATGCATTTATTTAAATTTACTGATTTCCTTATGAACTTCTATGAACTGTAACTCAATTGTTGCATGTTGGGTTTATTTTAGTTCTGTATATTTTATTTAACCGAGAGAGAGAGAGGGAACAGAAGAAACATTCCGACCAAACTTGATTAATATAAATATCAATATACCATCATAACAATGTTTATAATGAATGGAACAAGGCCTTTCTTTTAAGTTGCACTTGAAACTCCCATCCAACAGCCAGAGACATGTTCCATCTAAAAACATAAAAGCACACTTAACTTAATTGTACCTATTACAGTAAACAAGGGCCATTCTCAGGGAGTAGACTAGAGGTCCCCAGGAAAGGAAGGGAGGAGCGTCGGAGAGGCAAGGACCCTGTCTGTCTGGCTGACTGGTGGACTGAGAGCTGAAAGAGGCCCCTGGTTTAATCTCCTGCCTGCCTGCCTGCCGAGGGAGCGTCAGATGGCTCTGACAGAGATAGACCAGCCCAGCTCACTGAGCACAGGCAACAATTAAAGCTCCAGATTAAGCGAGTTTTGGACTACTGAAAGCTGCTCTGTTCATTTCTCTTCCTCCTTCTTCTGGTTCATCTCTATACTGGGATTCCTTCCTCCCCCAGCGTAATGGCACTGGCAGAACACACAGTACATATATGTTTGTGGATAGCTTGAGTAGACCTGCTGTGTGTTTGTGTTGATACGTATTTGATATATTTTCATGGAATACATAGCCTACAGGTGTATTTATTGGCTTGTCAACATAGTAAGAACATTGTTCAACCTGAGTGACTGGGATCTTGTGGGAAAACACTGGTGTTGTTTGGCCCTCCTCCCCCAACGTGCGCGTGAGCAAACACACTTCCAGTCCCAAGCAGAGCATACAGAGACAATGATAGGAAATACATTAGTAGGACCTCCATTGTATCTCCCCATACATCCTCATTTCCTGTATAGGAGTCAGAGCGGGTGGTTGTGGTGGTGCTGGAGAGGGGAAACTCCTGCCGCTCTCCTCCTCTCCCTGGGCCAGGGTGGGCACCCCCTGGAGGGGCTAGAGGAGTGGGAGGTCTGTCTGGGTCTATCCCCAGGCAGAGAGGGCCTAATCCAGCTCCCTTCTGCTGCCTGTCTGCCTGCCTGCCTGTATGGTTGGCTCACTGCCTGGTTGACAGTGGTTGGATGGCTTCCTGACTGGCTGGCTGGCTTACTGGCTGGCTTACTTACTGACTGTCTGGCTGGATGGCTGTCTCTCTAGCTCTAATCACAAGACCACTGTGTGACATTAAACTTTGTCTGCTGCTTCTATCCCCTGTAATGGTGTAAACAATGGCTTGGGGACCACATGGCTGTCTGTCCTGCCGTCAGTTGGGTGTGTGTAGCGTTATGCTGTGACCTGTCTCTTTTTACCTCAGCCAGACCACTGTCCTGGCTGTGTGTGTTCATGGATGTGTGGCGCTTTATACTATGACCCGTCTCTCTGTAGGCCTACCTAACCTCCCCAGGGCTCCAGACTAACCCTTACCCTACCTGACCTCCTCCCCATTTCAGATTGTCAGTGATGTGTACACCGAGGAACTTTAAGCTTTTCACCTTCTCCACTGTGGCCCTGTTGATGTGGATGGGGGTGTGCTCCCTCTGCTGTCTCCTAAAGTCCACGATCAGTTCCTTTTTGTTTTGTTGACACGGGAGAGGTTGATTTCCTGGCACCACTCTGCCAGGGCCCTTACCTGCTCCCTATAGGCTGTCTCGTCATGGTTGGTAATCAGGCCTACCACTGTTGTTGTCTGCAACGTAATTATTGAGTTGGAGGCATGCGTGGCTGTGCAGTCATGGGAGGACAGGAGGGGGCTGAGCACACACCCTTGTGGGGCCCCTGTGTTGAGGATCAGCGTATTGGATGTGTTGTTGCCTACCTTCACCACCTGGGGGCAGCACGTCAGGAAGTGTAGGACCCAGTTGCACAGGGCGGGTTTCAGACCCAGGGCCCCAAGCTTAATGATGAGCTTGGAGGGTACTATGGTATTGAAGGCTGAGCTGTAGTCAATGAAAAGCATTGTTACATAGGTATTCCTCTTGTCCAGATGGGATAGGGCAGTGTGCAGTGCGATGGTGACTGCGTCATCCGTGGATCTATTGGGGCGGCATGCGAATTGCAGTGGGTCTAGGGTGTCGGGTAAGGTGGAGGTGATATAATCCTTAACTAGTCTCTCAAAGCACTTCATGATGACAGAAGTGAGTGCTACGGGGCGATAGTACCTAACCTCTTCCCCAGGGCTCCAGACTAACCCTACCTAACCTCTTCCCCAGGGCTCCAGACTAACCCTACCTAACCTCCTCCCCAGGGCTCCAGACTAACCCTACCTAACCCTACCTAACCTCCTCCCCAGGGCTCCAGACTAACCCTACCTAACCTCTTCCCCAGGGCTCCAGACTAACCCTACCTAACCACCTCCCCAGGGCTCCAGACTAACCCTACCTAACCTCTTCCCCAGGGCTCCAGACTAACCCTACCTAACCTCCTCCCCAGGGCTCCAAGACTAACCCTAACCCTACCTAACGTCCTCCAGGACTCCAGACTAAACCTATCCCTACCTAACCTCCTCCCCAGGGCTCCGGACTAACACTACCTAACCTCCTCCAGGACCACAGACTAACCCTAACCCTACCTAACCTCCTCCCCAGGGCTCTAGACTAACCCTAACCCTACCTAACCTCCTCCCCAGGGCTCCAGACTATCCCTAACCCTACCTAACCTCCTCCCCAGTGCTCCAAGTCTAACCCTAACCCTACCTAACCTCCTCCCCATGGCTCCAAGTCTAACCCTACCTAATCTCCTCCCCAGGCTAATTGCGAGCTTGTATAGGAAGTATCTGGTTCGTGAGACTACTCTGTACCTGAGCCCGACTACTGACCATGTAGATTGGTACTTCCGCTGTACTGACCCTCACACCCATCTCTACCTCTCTCTCTCCCTCTCTCCTTCCCTCCCCAGGTGTGCCACCACTCAGACTGCCAGGACCTGAACAACAAGAGCCCTCTTCACCTGTGTGAGTCATGTGACTCCCGCTGCCACCTGGAAGACACAGACAACATGCACTTTGACCGACACCCCCGCTTTGACCTGCAACCCCAAGGTACACAACATTACCCAGTACCCACCACAACAACAGCTTCACACCCAGACTTCCTCCCCACTAGTTTGTATACATTTAGTGCCCAATCCTACACTCAGGTCAGGTTATATGACAGGTCAGGTTTTAACTCCCAGAGCAACGCTTGCGTCAAGTCTTTTGAGTCAAAGAAATAGATTCCCCTCGACCATACGGGTGGCAGGTAGCCTATCGAGCGTTGGGCCAGTAACCGAAAGGTTGCTTGTTTGAATCCCAGAGCCGACAAGGTGAAAAATCTGTCGATATGCCCTTGAGCAAGGGACTTAACCCTAATTGCTCCAGGGTCGTTGATAATGGCAGACCCTGGCCATGACCCCACTCTCCGAGGGTGCCTCAGTGAGAGTTGAGATATGCAAAGAACACATTTACAATTCACACATGCGTATTAATACACACTTAAGGCGTCCTGTAGCTCAGTTGGTAGAGCATGGCACTTGCAACGCCAGGGTTTTGGGTTCGTTTCCCACGGGGGGCCAGTATGAAAAATTTATGCATTCACTAACTGTAAGTCGCTCTGGATAAGAGCATCTGCTAAATGACTAAAATGTAAATGTTGTACATGTGTGAAATGGGACAAATACTGTTTAAGCAAATTATTGTTATTGTTACATGCATGAAAATAAACACTAGCACATCTTCCTGTTCCACCACTGACTTCCCTCCACCCGTGATTTTTATCTTAAACTGGGTTCATGGCCTGAAGATATGAGACTGTCTGTCATGCAATGACGGCTTCTAGGCTCATTGAACTGATGTTAGTCGTGACAGCAAGAACGTTTTGAATTTCCTGTTAACATTTTGTCAGGCTAGATTAAACTGGAAGTACCTGTGTTTATTAAGGAAAGTGTTATTAAAGAGTAGTATTAAAGATCTCTAAGAGATTCTGTGTAACCCCCCCGTGTAAGGTTCCATCCTGGCCCGGAACGTGTCGACGCGCTCCTGTCCCCCCCCCATCAGCCCCCCCTCTGACCTGGAGGAGGAGGAGGAGGAAGGGGGCAACAACCGAGGGTATGTCACTCCTGGTTATGCCTATGATTTATTACATTGTCTATCTGTCTGCATGGCGCTTGTCACTTTGGTTTAAAATACAAAATGGACACTAGATCAGTGAGGAGTGTCCTCTTTGACAGCACTGATCTATTAATATACAATAGTCGTGGTTATGCTTAAATTAGTGTTGACCTGTTATTCCATAGATCAGGGATCATCAACTACACTGCTCAAAAAAATTAAGGGAACACTTAAACAACACAATGTAACTCCAAGTCAATCACACTTCTGTGAAATCAAACTGTCGACTTAGGAAGCAACACTGATTGACAATAAATGTCACATGCTGTTGTGCAAATGGAATAGACAACAGGTGGAAATTATAGGCAATTAGCAAGACACCCCCAATAAAGGACTGGTTTTGCAGGTGGTGATCACAGACCACTTCTCAGTTCCTATGCTTCCTGGCTGATGTTTTGGTCACTTTTGAATGCTGGCGGTGCTTTCACTCTAGTGGTAGCATGAGACGGAGTCTACAACCCACACAAGTGGCTCAGGTAGTGCAGCTCATCCAGGATGGCACATCAATGCGAGCTGAGGCAAGAAGGTTTACTGTGTCTGTCAGCGTAGTGTCCAGAGCATGGAGGCGGCTACCAGGAGACAGGTCAGTACATCAGGAGATGTGGAGGAGGCAGTAGGAGGGCAACAACCCAGCAGCAGGACTGCTACCTCCGCCTTTGTGCAAGGAGGAGCACTGCCAGAGCCCTGCAAAATGACCTCCAGCAGGCCACAAATGTGCATGTGTCTGCTCAAACGGTCAGAAACAGACTCCATGAGGGTGGTATGAGGGCCCGACGTCCACAGGTGGGGGTTGTGCTTACAGCCCAACACCGTGCAGGACGTTTGGCATTTGCCAGAGAACACCAAGATTGGCAAATTCGCCACTGGCGCCCTGTGCTCTTCACAGATGAAAGCAGGTTCACACTGAGCACATGTGACAGAGTCTGGAGATGCCGTGGAGAACGTTCTGCTGCCTGCAACATCCTCCAGCATGACCGGTTTGGCGGTGGGTCAGTCATGGTGTGGGGTGGCATTTCTTTGGGGGGCCGCACAGCCCTCCATGTGCTCGCCAGAGGTAGTCTGACTGCAATTAGGTACCGAGATGAGATCCTCAGACCCCTTGTGAGACCATATGCTGGTGCGGTTGGCCCTGGGTTCCTCCTAATGCAAGACAATGCTAGACCTCATGTGGCTGGAGTGTGTCAGCAGTTCCTGCAAGAGGAAGGCATTGATGCTATGGACCGCCCGTTCCCCAGACCTGAATCCAATTGAGCACATCTGGGACATCATGTCTCGCTCCATCCACCAACGCCACGTTGCACCACAGACTGTCCAGGAGTTGGCGGATGCTTTAGTCCAGGTCTGGGAGGAGATTCCTCAGGAGACCATCCGCCACCTCATCAGGAGCATGCCCAGGCGTTATAGGGAGATCATACAGGCACGTGGAGGCCACACACACTACTGAGCCTCATTTTGACTTGTTTTAAGGACATTACATCAAAGTTGGATCAGCCTGTAGTGTGGTTTTCCACTTTTAATTTTGAGGGTGACTCCAAATCCAGACCTCCATGGGTTGATAAATTTGATTTCCATTGATAATTTTTGTGTGATTTTGTTATCAGCACATTCAACTATGTAAAGAAAAAAGTATTTAATAAGATTATTTCATTCATTCAGATCTAGGATGTGTTATTTTAGTGTTCCCTTAATTTTTTTGAGCAGTGTAGATTCAGCCGCGGGATTATCTTTTCTTGAGCGGATGGTCAGGGGGCCTGAACATAATTACAAATAATTTGTAGACTGTAAATTGACTTCAAGAAGCCCAAACAGATATAATATTTGACTAAAGCATAATAATTTCAAACCTTGCTTACATTTTGTATACGATCACATATATCTATATTTTATACATGGGAATACTTTAGAACTTGATTTCCAAAATTAAAATCCTTTGGAGCTGATTTGCTCAGAACTTAGGGGGCTAAATAATATCACATACGGCCCACCAGTTGGGGAATCTTGGCATAGATGTTCAATTACACTATGTACATATGACTGGGGTTTTTTTCTTCCAGGGAGCGTAAAGCTGGGGGCCTGAAGTTGGTGAAGAAGAAACCACGGCGACGGCACACCGATGTGAGTATTGATACAGACAATATACGCCCCTTAGGAAACCACATCACTCCACCTTAGCTCCTAATAGTATTGGGTCACCCAATACTATTAGGAGCTATGTTGGTCAAAACATAGCTGTCTTATTGTATGTGGTGGAAAGTTAATTGTATGATGATCACAGTGCCAACATGACTACAGGCTTCATGCTGTTAGTATACCACTGAAAATGGCAACAATTCTCAGCAGAGGCCGGGGACCCACACACCACACACACATATCAGTCAACAGTTTGGACACCTACTCATTCAAGGGTTTTTCTTTATTTTTAGTCTTTTCTACATTGACATCAAAACTATGTTATAACACATATGGAATCATGTAGTAACCCAAGAAGTGTTAAACAAATCAAAATATATTTTATATTTGAGATTCTTCAAATAGCCACCCTTTGCTTTGATGACAGCTTTGCACGCATTCACTCAACCAGCTTCACCTGGAATGGTTTTCCAACAGTCTTGAAGGAGTATGCTGAGCACTTGTTGCCTGCTTTTCCTTCACTCTGCCATCCGACTCATCCCAAACCATCTCAATTGGGTTGAGGTCGGGGGATTGTGGAGGCCAGGTCATCTGATGCAGCACTCAATCACTCTCCTTATTGGTAAAATAGCCCTTACACTGCCTGGAGGTGTGTTGGGTCATTGTCCTGTTTGAAAAACAAATGATAGTCCCACTAAGCCCAAACCACATGCTGGTTAAGTGTGCCTTGAATTCTAAATAAATCACAGACAGTGTCACCAGCAAAGCACCCCCACACCATAACACCTCCTCCTCCATGCTTTACGGTGGGAATTACACATGCGGAGATCATCCGTTCACCCACACAGTGTCTCACAAAGACACAGCGGTTGGAACCAAAAATCTCAAATTTGGACTCCAGACCAAAAAACACATTTCCACCGGTCTAATGTCCATTGCTTGTGTTTCTTGGCCCAAGCAGGTATTTTCTTCTTATTGGTGTCCTTTAGTAGTGGTTTCTTTGCTGGAATTCGACCATGAAGGCCTGATTTACGCAGTCCCCTCTGAACAGTTGATGTTGAGATGTCTGTGACTTGAACTCTGTGAAGCATTTATTTGGGCTGCAATTTCTGAGGCTGGTAACTCTAATGAACTTATCCTCTGCAGCAGAGGTAACTCTGGATCTTCCTTTCCTATGGTGGTCTTCATGAGAGCCAGTTTCATCATAGCGCTTGATGGTTTTTGCGGCTGGACTTGAAGAAACTTTCAAAGTTCTTGACATTTTCCGTATTGACTGACCTTCATGTCTTAAAGTAATGATGGACTGTCGTTTCTCTATGCTTATTTGAGCTGTTCTTGCCATAATATGGACTTGGGTCTTTTACCAAATAGGGCTAGCTTCTGTATACCCCCCCTACCCTGTGACAACAAACCTGATTGGCTCAAACTCATGAAGAAGGAAAGAAATTCCACAAGTTAACTTTTAAGAAGGCACACCTGTTAATTGAAATGCATTCCAGGTGACTACCTCATGAAGCTGGTTGAGAGAATGCCAAGAGTGTGCAAACCTGTCAACAATGCAAAGGGTGGCTATTTGAAGAATCTCAAATATAAAATATATTTTGATTTGTTTAACACTTTTTTTGGTTACTACATGATTCCATATGTGTTATTTCATAGTTTTGATGTCTTCACTATTATTCTACAATGTAGGAAATAGTAAAAATAAAGAAAAACCTTTGAATGAGTAGGTGTGTCCTAACTTTTCACTGCTACTGTATATATAATGGTCTCCAATGGTTCGTCCCTGAGTGTTTTTGGTCAGTCAGCCTGCATGGTAAAGGGCCTCCATGTGGATCTACTGCGAGAGAAATCACTACAGGAGCTCTGGCCTCTTCAGTTTTACAGCCATGAACTTATATTGTCTGTCGCCCCCTGCAGGACCCCAGCAAGGAGTGCTTCAGCCTCAAGTTTGATCTGAACGTGGACATTGACACAGAGATCGTCCCCGCTGTGAAAAAGAAGACCCTGAGGTGAATTGGTAGTGGGCTGAATAAATAGGAATGATTGTGACCGATTTGTGTCATTCTGTTTAAGGTCTGGTCTGACTTTGTCCAAGGCATGGGATCATAGACATACAATATAATAATGCTCCATTTGATTATTTGCATAAACATATGGTGTGAGTGGTCTCTGTTGACTCTCAGTCCTGTGTTTACATAACTGTATTGGGTGAATGGTCTATACTCTGTGTTAATTCTGTTCTCTCTGTCCTGTGTGTTCCTCTATTCCAGGGAGGTGCTGGGCCCTGTGTTTGAGCGTAAAGGTATTGAGTTATCCCGGGTAGATCTGTTCCTAGACCAGTCCAACACTCCACTGTCCCTGAACTTTGAGGCCTACCGCTTCGGGGGCCACTATCTCAAGGTCAAAGGTTAGAGTCCACCAGAACACCACATCTAATTTTGTTTTCCTCCAGCTTCACAATGAATAGAATAAAATAACTTTCTTTCCCCAGTGAATCTACCTCTGTCTGTGGAAGTATGGGTGTTTTTGATTCTAAGCAAACCAAGGTACAATGTGTTTCAACTTTTGATTACTACCCTGCACTGAAAACTACATTTTAAGGGTTGACGAAATATGAAACAAACACCAATCTAATGAATTTGCCTTTATTAGAGAATATTTGGCTTCTGTTTGTACCCCCTAGCATAAACAATGTCTGGGTGGGAACAGATGGCAGGGCCTCAGTTTCCTGTCTCTCCCTTGATTCAGAGGAAACTGGACAGGGCATCCCCCATCTTGGATCCCTGTAGGAGACTGTGGCCTTTTCTCATTTGGGCAAAAAGTCAGACCTCCAGCCTATCTCCTCCGTCCTTTCTCCTCCCAGACCCTCAAACCCATAAGTGGTTTAGTAGTCGAGGAGAAGTCAATTCGTTAGTAGGCGAACGGATGAGTGTTCTCCCGTCCTCGATAGCTACCTTTTATTGAGGATAGTCATGTGTATCTTACCGGAGTCCCTCGCAGAAGAGTTTTGAAATCTGCCACACCCGCTTTGAATCAGCTTTTGCTTTGTCGGAGGAGAAAAGCATACAGACGTTTAAAAACAACATACTACTTATCGTTTAATCTATAAAATGTCTTGCACAACTAACATCATTTGTTTTTCACTTTACACATTTATTTTGGGATCTACCCCTGTAAACATTATTTGCCTGATAACGCGCGAGTGGAGAAGGAGTCTGATTTCATACAAGCGCATTTTCGTCCACTTTCCCTCTCCTCGCCGCCTCTCCTTGATTACCTTGGCCCTTTTTCAAAAGGAGGTGAGAGAGGACGCAGGAGTTGAGCAAATCCAATTGAGAAAAGGCCTATATCTGTAGCAGCGGCCTTTGGATCAAAGACTCATAGACAGGTTAGCTGAGAACGTCACGAAAACAGCGCGCACGCTTCTATGGGCCAGAAGGCTGTGTTGTGATTCTGGATGGCCAGATAGCTAGCAACAATGACATGAGGGAAATCGTAGGTGGCTCGTTTCAGTTAGTTTTATCTTGTTCTTAATGTCTTGTTTTGGGGTGTGTTTTCTAGACTGGAAGGGAAAGGTGATACCTAGTCAGTTGCAAAAACTGAATGCTTTCAACTGAAATGTGTCTTCCGCATTTAACCCAAACCCTCTGCATCAGAGAGGTGGGGGGGGGCTGCCTTAATCGACATCTACATCATCGGCGTCCGGGGAACAGTGGGTTAACTGCCTTGCTTAGGGGCAGAACATTTTACATGTTTACATTTTAGTCATTTAGCAGACGCTCTTATCCAGAGCGACTTACAGTTAGTGAGTGCATACATTTTCCATACTGGCCCCCCGTGGGAATCGAACCCACAACCCTGGCATTGCAAGCGCCATGCTCTACCAACTGAACTACAGGAGGCCCTGTAGAACAGCAGATTGTCAGCTCGGGGATTCGATCCAGCAACCTTTCGGTTACTGGCCCAACACTCCTACCCGCCAGGCTAGCAACTCATCCAATTCAATCTGCAGCTAATAAGCCAATCTTAAAAGCTAGCCTTGTAGTATAATATTTTCCCAATCTAATGTTTAAAAGGGGATCCTGTTTTGGAGCCTGAGGAGAGAGAACTTCAACAGGAAGCTAGTCCTGAAATAAATAAATATTGATACCGTTTTTGAGATGTACTTCTCTATTACAACTACCTACCTTCAATAAGAGAATTATAACACACAAAGCTAACCCTCAATGTTGGTTCCTCCTCAGCACGGCCGGGTGATGAGCTGAAGGTGCAGCAGGGAGTGAAGGACCTGCGCTCGCTCAGTCTGCCCAACATGAAACCCTCCTCTGGGGGTCAGAGCCCCTACATCCTCACCCCGGGCAGCGAGAGGGTGGAGCACGGCTCCCTGGGACGCAAAGAGAGCAACGTCGACCTGCTGGTCAGTGCAGCCTCTACTACAGTATGTGTTCACTCACACACTGCAACTGATGTACATCAAATCTCTCTCTCTCTCACGCACACCATGGGTCAATATACAGTATCACACAAACAGTATAAGCACAGAGTTCAGGTGGGCCTTTGCACTTCAGCAAACAAAGGAAAGGAGGGGTGCTCAACAACGACAGAAATCATGAAAGGTTTACCAAGAAAAACTTCCAAAATGACTAATTCAAGGTAGAAAGGAGTTGGAGCACTCAACAACAAAATGACTTAATTCTACAGGATGCGAACAGGTTACGGACGTTACCACTACAGGAGCTCAGTATAAGCACACTTCAATTATAAATCCTATCAGATTTATACACACCTACAACCCGTTGTGACTAGATGGAGTACAGCTACGACCGGTTGTGACTAGATGGAGTACAGCTTCGAACGGTTGTGACTAGATGGAGTACAGCTTCGACCGGTTGTGACTAGATGGAGTACAGCTTCGACCGGTTGTGACTAGATGGAGTACAGCTACGACCGGTTGTGACTAGATGGAGTACAGCTTTGACCGGTTGTGACTAGATGGAGTACAGCTACGACCGGTTGTGACTAAATGGAATACAGCTACGACCGGTTGTGACTAGATGGAGTACAGCTTCGACCGGTTGTGACTAGATGGAGTACAGCTTCGACCGGTTGTGACTAGATGGAGTACAGCTACAACTGGTTGTGACTAGATGGAGTACTGCTTCGACCGGTTGTGACTAGATGGAGTACTGCTTCGACCGGTTGTGACTTTTCGTAGCAGGTTAGGAGAACATTTTTGCTAACCCTAACCCTTTTCAGAACCTTAACCTAATTCTCCTAACCTGTTACGTTAATTCTCCTAACTACCCCATCATCTCTTAAACATCTTGAAACTTTAGATGTCACTTCCTACCACTTTCCATAATCTCACCCTTTATCCCACGATGCCTTCATGAAGTGGATCATTTTAGGAAGTGGATGATAATCCAGTCATTATCATAACCTCATTTTTCATTACCTCGCTAGCTTTCATCCCATCGGAACACTTAAACTCTGCTTTCCTCATAACCCTTGTGCTGTGCCAGCCACCTCTATAACCTTCAAGCCCTGCTGGGTAGGCTGGTGACCTCCTACAAGAAGAGGCTCTGCCACTAGCTGCTTACTCTGGCTGACAGGAAGGACCAGGTAGTGTTCACTTTGGCCTGCAGGAGAGGTGCTGAGAGAGGGAGTCTGCTGGACCAGGGGGAACTGGCACCCTGCTTCACCCTGTGTTAATAGACAGTGAAAGAGGCTATAATTATAAGGTTTGGTGTCCTGTCTGTCTCATTCTGTACTGCAGTTATTCTCCGACTGACTCAAACCTACATTCTGAGATGTTGTCATTTAGTCAACTTTGCTGGAAGAAAATAAGATTGTGGGATTGTCCATTGCCTTCTCAGTATAATCTCGGAACCCAGAACAACATTTCATGAGCGACTACTTTCAATATGAAAATAGCATGCTCTTTTTGTGCTATACTCTTTCGCTGCTTGTGCACATTGCTTTGAAATATTGGTAACTGTCAGTGGGTGTGAACTGTGGAGAACCCTGCAGGCAAGTCTAGACCCACTCAGCACTCACACACTCAGGTGAGACGGGGTGCCATTGCATGCACTGAAAACGTGGGTGTGATGTCATTGCGGCTGTGCCCCTGCGCTAGGAAACGGGTAGAGCCTGGGAGGATAACTGAGGTTGCTGTAATTTAGGACAACTGCTCATTTAGAAAACAGCGTATGTGGCATCGATATGAGTCAAGAACATTTGTTCCACTGTCAAAATTGACTACAAAGTGTAAATAGTATAATGTTGGTCATAAAGTTAGTCCCATCCAAAACAGAGATATGTGAGACTTGTGGTCGTGACTGCATCACAATTTAAATGAAGGTTGGATTTGTTTCAATCATGCCCACAGCTGGCAGCACACAATTAATCATCAATTCGGAGTGCAGCTGCACACCACCCATTTGTAATGCCCATGGTAAATTTGGGTTGACTTTGGATGTACCTATGGGGCTAGTTAGGAATCATCGGTAAATTACACAATGTACATGGGACAATATGTTAAAATTCCAATAGCTCTAAATTTCAATGACTTAACCTCAAACCAACTATAAATTGTAGAAATTCCAATAAAAATAGGTGTGCACCATGAAATTATTTTCTAATTTACATTGTGTAATTTATTGATGGTCCCTAACTAGCCCCAGAGATAGGCTATCCAAAGTCAAATCAACTTTTCAACGGTCGCACACCAGACGGCTGAAGTTAATTGGCTAAATAATTTGGCTAACTCTTCCCACCTGCGAACACACACACTTAGTAATGTAATCTGATTACTTGTTCTGGAGGCAGCGTGGTCACTAGCTGGCACAGCCACAAAGTCATAAAATCAGATGATTTTAAACCTAACCTTAACCACAATGTTAACCCTGATGCCTAACCCTAAATTAAAGCTAAATTTAGTTTTCATTAATTTTTACAATGTAGTCAATTTTGACTTTGCAGCTGGCCCATCTAGCGGAAATCACTCAGTTCTGCCTCAAGGACAAGACTAATCTAAATAAACGTCAACCTGCTTAGAAGAAGACAAAAATGAATATTACCAATTGAAGACATCTATTGCTGCATAAATCAATCTTAGGTTACATAGCTGGCCATAGATGTTGCATTTTACTTAATGGGTTGGTTCTGGATGCTTATACTACATATAATAATATGATTAGGATATATCTTTACATACAACCAAAACAGAGTGTGTCAGATTTCCAGTCATTCCAATTAATTTAATACCCCTCGGTCTTCAAGAATAGGACTTGGAAATATGGTATTGTGGAGTAACTACAATGTTATTTCTCCTATCACAGCCATTTAACTCTAACTGTTTTAAAGTCACCATTGGCCTCATGGTGGAATCCCTGAGTAGTTTCCTTCCTCTCCGACAACTGAGTTAGGAAGGACGCCTGTATCTTTGTAGTGACTGGCTTTATTGATACACCATCCAAAGTGTAATTAATAACTTCACCATGCTCAAAGGGATATTCAATGTCTGCTTTTTTTATTTATTTTTCATCTACCAATCGGTGGCCTTTGCGAGGCATTGGAAAACCTCCCTGGTCTTTGTGGTTGAATCTGTGTTTGAAATTCTCTGCTCGACTGAGGGACCTTACAGATAATTGTATGTGTGGGGTACAGCGATGAGGTAGTCATTCAAAAATCATGGGAAACACTATTATTGCACACCGTGAGTTATGTGACTTGCTAAGCAAATTTCTACTCATGAACTTATTTAGGCTTGCCATAGCAAAGGGGTTGAATACTTATTGACTCAAGACATTTCAGCTTTTCATTTTTTAGACATTTCTAAAAACATAATTTCATTTTGACATTATTGGGTATTCTGTGACACAATCTCAATTTAATCCATTTTAAATTCAGGCTGTAACACAACATTTTGAAAAAGTCAAGGGGTGTGAATATTTTCTGAGGGCACTGTAGCTTGGACTGTAGCCTACAAAAGCCAATTCCTGCTCTTTTCCCGTGATCCATCAAACACATTTGGTATCATAGTGGTCTCTGACTTGTGGACAGACTCTCTCAGGCGCAACCAACTTGCACCTTTTATCAATGCAGATTTTTTTTTTATGTCATTGAGAAAACCGAAAGGTGTAAAAAAAAATATTTTTGCAAACATCCTTTCTGAATTAAAAAGTAATCCTAGAAGTAATCATCTCGTTTTTCAAAAGTATCTAATCTGATTACAATATTTTTGCTGCTAACGTAATGGATTAGAGTACAAAAATAAAATGTAATCCTTTTACTCCCCAGCCCTGCCTACACCTAGTTTAGGGTACTTATGGCCAGACCTACAGCAGTGTGCCATCAGAGCACAGGGTCTTATCGAGAGTTATAGATTAACAATAGAACACACTGCAGGTGTTTTTATGGATGCTGCCTGCCTGCCTGCCTGCCTGCTCTGTATCGTACAGAGGACTTTGCTCCAGGTAGTTTAGATGTTTGTCTAGCAGCAGGATACAGCTCGGCATAACGGTGAATTGTGCCAGGCAAGCTTCAAAGTAAAGCACTGCTTCTCTTAAAAGGAACGTCCTTTGTGTATGAATGAGATATTACACATTTATAATAGTATGTGTGCTATCAAGCTTGGAATATTATAGGTACTTGCAGCCTATGATTGGTGGAAAATATTTGATCTATAATTGGCCATGTTTTGATGCATCCTTTTGATGCCCTTCCCTTTGTAGGTGTTAATACCTTGTACTTAATCTGACATTAAATGTTTTCACATTGACATTAATCGCAAATAAGGATTATGCCTTAAACCCATTTCCACCTTCAAATTACCGTCGCCACTGTTGGCGTTTCTCACTAGATGGGATGGGTACATTATCGTGTGATGGCACGTAGACACTAGATACTCAACCTCCCATCAAATTCTGTGCCACACAGTCCCAGTGCCACCCCCATGCCCAGACAGAGTTTAGCACTAACCCTCTGCCTACCTACCTAGCTAGCTCCGAGGTAGAGGTTCTCCTGGCTCCAGAGGTACTGGGTGAAGATTACTGGCCCCTTTGAAAGACCCATGGCACAATTGGTGGCAGACTGGTAGGGCTGTGTCTGCTACCTGCAAAGTGGTCAGGTTAATGTGTTCAGCTCAGATAAAAATGCTGGTAAGAGTTTGACCAAAGGTTGAATTACTACATGCATAATTAAGCGTGTCCAATAGTTGGACTTTCATGTACTGGCTTTGGGAATGGCTAGTCACTGTATAGGCCTACAGTGTTGTAACTTTTGAATACTCCCATTCATCGAGAATCGAAGCAGTTGGCCTCGAGTCATGCTTTACAATAGGTACTTCAAACAGAATGCTGTAGACAGGTGGTGATAATGTGATTTACAATAGCTAGATCACATCCATAACAGTGATCTTTGAACTTTTTGTAAGGC